CAGATTGATCATAAAAAATTCAATTGTGTGGTGCTTCTCTGGCATCTAGGGCAGAGCCAGACAAATGGTAAGTTTACAGTAAATCACAAATATTATCACCATGCAATGCTCATTTTTCTTAACCATTTTTACAGGAAAGTAAGATTTTGTCCTTCAGACGCATAACAACATAAATCATTCAAGCTAAAATCCAAACCCATATTAATAGGGCACAATATTTAAGTATCCCTATTCTGGATTATTTTTCTTGACTCACACTAATATCCGCAGAGTACAAAAGAGAAGAGAAGGAAGACACAACAAGAACAACCAACCTAGAAGCCCCTTCCTGCAGGGGCTGGTCCAGCTTCCCAGAAAGGATTCAAATCTAAAAAGATGTCCTTTCTCCTACCCTTACAACCTCACTTTTCCTACCCTAAACTTAGATCATAAGAAAGTGGTATAAAGACCCACACTACTTTCAAATTCTCTAGCTAAACAAACAGCATCAAGGATGGACAAGGCCCACAATTTTGTAACAACTTGATTTTTCAAGTTAGTTAAAAACTAGTGTGAAATAACTACAACAAAAGAAAAAGCTTTTGGCAAACACAATTATTTTGCTGTTGTTTGCTTGCTTGTTTGAGACAGGGTCTCACTCTGTAGCCAAGGTTGTCTGGGAACTTGAAATCCTCCTGACTCTGCCTCTAAAGGGCCACTATTACAGGTTTGTGCCACCACACTGGTGCTCAAACACAATACTTTAAATGAGATCTTACATAATATATAATCACATTAAATTCATCTTCCCTCCTTTCTAGAATTATAGACAAGAAACATGCAGATATTGTGACCAACTTATAACAATACTCAGTAAGAAAACCCCAAAATACTAGCGGGGAAGGGCCAAATGTGCAACAAAATGTAATTTTAGGTACTAAGCAGCCTAGAACAGGCCATGAGAAGACAGTGCAGAAACTGAAATTTTGCAAACTAATGTTTAAACCACATTTCAACTGAAAAAATTAAGGCCAAATATTTCAGTATTTTGAAATTGAGGTTTTTATTTTTTAGAATTTACAAACTAACTTCATCTCCTAAGTTTACAAACAAGTATGCTACAACAAATAAGGCAACAGCTCAAAAATTGAATGGTTCCAAACTGTTTCAACAGCTACCAACCTACTAATATTTGACCACAAAATCTAAGAGTATGTCTAACTTTTCCTTCATCAGGTTGGGCAGGGGGCTAAAATTGAAAGAGCTAATTTACTGTAAAAGCTGAGGAAGCAGAAGTCATGTTGGTGGCATTTTGCTTTATTGTTGTTGCTGTTTGTTCTGAGACAAGGTCTTGTTATGTAGCCCAGGTTGGCCTGGTACTCATGATTCTTCTGCCTCAGCCTCCCAAGTGTTGCTATTACAGGCATAAACCACAGAATCCAGCTAGCAGAAGCAATTTTGGACAAATAATACTAACTACCCTTTTGGTTAGTAATATTTTCCTCTTCCCTAAGGCAACAGAACAATAAGGATATTTTATCTCCTTTACTTCTCTTTCATTTAGTGCTTTTCACATTTCTTTTGCATATACTTTATCTCAATAATCCTTTAGCTCTGTGATTTCAGCAAAGAAAACCTAAGATGTTTAATCAAGAACCATTATTTATGAATGTTTAAATAAACTGTGATAAATCTATATCACTCAATAGCACTCAGCAACAAAAAGAAAAAGATAGCTCAGTGTGGTGGTGCATGCCTGTGATCCCAGCACTCAGGAGGCTGAAACAAGAGGATCACCATGAGTTCCAAGGCCAGCCCGGGCTATATAGTGAGTTCAAAGCCAGCCTGAACTACATAGTAAAATTCTGTCTCCAAAAAAAAAAAAAAAGCGGGGCTGGGGATTTAGCTCAGCGGCAAAAGCACCTGCCTGGCAAGCGCAAGGTCGTGAGTTCGGTTCCCGGTACCGGAGAAAAACCAAAAAAAAACCCAACAAAACAAAAAGAATCTCATTTGCATATACCTTGACCTTGGTCTTCTGGTCTCCAGAACTGCAAGAAATAAATTTATGAGTAATGCCTATGATA